CACTGTATATAAATTAATTAGGTAACATTCAAATATAAGATTACGAAACTGGTTTACAGCAACTCATAAATGAAATGATCGCTACACCTACACCCCAAGTCGTCTTGCCTATGCTGGTGAAGTTAAATCGCAATGAACCATCCCCTGAACCTGATATCGTTTCTGGTAAAAATGCCTGCTTCAAAAATATCGTATGTAACCCGCTATTTATTTTCGTTCTGTTCCGAATTCCATTGATGTACTCGGACAAAAAACGAAATTTACCCTTTAGTCAATTAATAATTCTAGTTAGTTGATACGTTCTTTCTAAAATACCTCAGGCCGGGCCCGACGTTGTTGCGACTTCGCACGTCCCTTTTTTTTTACTTTTGTTTACTAATAATTCATTTATTGTCTACCATCAAGCAACGTTGCTCCCGGTACTCACTCCGTAGTAGTAGTTGAATAGGTAACCACTCGAAAACTTGGTTCGTTAATAAAAAATGTGGGATAGTATATGAAAAAAAAAACAGTTCTGTGACATAATGGCGTTACTCGTATCTCGTATATTTCAAAAAGGTTTTTGACAATCTTAATCCTTTATGCCTAATGTACGCCGCCAAAATTTTAACAAAATCATAGTAACCGTTTTGCCGACAGAGAATATTTTAGTTTTTTAACTTTGACATTTTTCTTCTCAGTTTTTTCTGTTGTAATAAAATCTGGCACAATTGTTGTTGTTTTCCGTGAAAAAAACATTTTGCTAAGTCGTCAGGCAACAGTGCTATGGCTAATTTACTGATCCTTTGAAACTGTGAAAAAATGTCAAATAACTTCGAAACCATGTCAGTTAGACATTGCATCATATTAACAAAATCATACTGCTTTTTTTATGAATAATTCAAAAATACCCTCAGAAGAGATAGTGCTATTTGAAATAAGAAAGTTCCGGTATCGTTCTGATACAACCCGAATCAATAATCCAAACCGTTCCTGAGATACTTTTAATGGTCCACTTAAAAACACCACCCTGTATAGGGGGTTTTATTTAATCATATGCAACTTTGCCATAAATCACCCTGTACCTATAACAATTGCAATTTCGTAGAAAATATTTTTAGGTTGCAGCCTTAAGAGCCCTTCAACATGCCCCGACAATGAATTTTAAATATGTGCGTTAATAAACCCATAATCTTCCATCCATGCACTAATGGTCTACCCTGTATTCAGGGGCGGACTGGCACGGGGGGGCGGGTGGCGATTGCCACCTAGCCTGTAGATCATAATGGTCCGTTGGAAATTTATAAATATGTGCTGTATTTAGTTTCTTGCACTATTAATAAATTATTAACACGTTTCTCTAATTGGGGTTGATGTTAGGTTGTTAAAAAATTAAAAAAATCTGTTTTAATTGAAGTGTTTTACAATGAATTTATCATTTTTTGTCGTAGCATGAAAGTGCTGAAATACAATGATAGGCGACGCACCTCGTGTGGATTGTATATTTTGTTACTTTTAATTATCAGCTGCAATTAAAAAAAAACTGTATGGTAATTGATTAACTTTTGAACTAGTAGCCCAATCTTGGAACTGTTTGAAATTATGGATTCTACAGGCCACATTCTATAAGAAAATTTTTTTCCGGGTCGATCTGAGACAATTTTTTTTTCGGGGCTCAAAAAAAGGCAGTGTATAACCTTCCTTTTTTACCAAAAATCGACTACACCAAAATTTCTGGGAAAACACTTTTTCTTATTAATTTGGGTGCGTAGAATCCAAATCAATTCGTACTTTTTCGATCAGACTTCTCAATCAAAAGTTATAGACTAGAAACCAATTTCGAAAAAAATTCAAAGGGCTGTAACTTTTGAACTAGTAGCCCAATCTTGGAACTGTTTGAAATTATGGATTCTACAGGCCACATTCTATAAGAAAATTTTTTTTCCGGGTCGACCTGAGACAATTTTTTTTTCGGGGCTCAAAAAAAGGCAGTGTATAACCTTCCTTTTTTATAACCTTCCTTTTTTACCAAAAATCGACTCAGACTTTTCACCAAAATTTCTCGGGAAAACACTTTTTCTTATTAATTTCGGGGCTCAAAAAAAGGGTGCGTAGAATCCAATCCACATCAATTCGTACTTTTTCGATCAGACTTCTCAATCAAAAGTTATAGACTAGAAACCAATTTCGAAAAAAAATTCAAAGGGCTGTAACTTTTGAACTAGGAGCCCAATCTTGGAACTGTTCGGGGCTCAAAAAAGGCATAACCAGGGGCGCACTGGCCCGGGGGGGGGGCGGGTGGCGATTGCCACCTGGCCTGTACATCATAATGGCCCGTTGGAAATTTATAAGTATGTGCTGTATTTAGTTTCTTGCACTATTAATAAATTATTAACACGTTTCTCTAATTGGGGTTGATGTTAGGTTATTAAAAAATTAAAAAATTATGTTTTAATTGAAGTGTTTTACAATGAATTTATCTTTTTTTGTCGTAGCATGAAAGTGCTGAAATACAATGATAGGCGACGCACCTCGTGTGGATTGTATATTTTGTTTCTTTTAATTATCAGCTGCAATTTAAAAAAAAACTGTATGGTAATTTATTTTCGAGAAAGAAGTACTTGTACTAAAATGTTTTTGTGGTGCACCTCAGAGCACCCCCCCCCCCCCCCCCGCCATCATCATTACTACACTAATACTTTAATGGCCCGTAACCTGTGCAATTCCACCTGACCCGCAGTTACCCAGTCCGCCCCTGCCTGTATTGTCACTGTAAGTAAACCAAACGTATTGTTATAGCAAGGATAGTGCCCATAATACTTTAATGAGACGCTAATTCGCCCCCAGGAAGATTTATCCCCGAAAGATTCATCCCCGAAAGATTTATCCCCGGTATATTCATCCCCTAAAAATTCGCCTCTAAGATATTCTCCTTCCGAGGATTCGCTGCCGGAAAAAGTGCTGTCACTATTACAATCAATTATATCTGGGTCGAGTTTCTTTAGGGGAAAGTATCCCGAAAGCATACTTTGGTGAGCTGATGTATGGGGGTGAATTTTCCATGAGCGGGGGCGATCCTTCAGGTGGCGAGGTCAAGTTTTCCAACGGCAACTTTATTGCCAAAGCGAATATTCCGAGGATAATTTACCGCATACTTCTGATCAAATATATATCATTTAGGATCAGAAAAAACTCGTGGGTAATCCACGCTCTAAATGGGGTGATGAACCATACAGGAAATAAACAACTTCCCCGTGGATATTTAATAATTGACGAACAGATATAATTGTGAAATGTTCGACATGTTTCGATTGTTAATCATTTTCAGGTAACAAATTATAAGTACGGTGCGTGAGAAAATTACATTATTGAAAAGTTGTTGAAGTCTTGACGTTACATTATTGAAGTAATAATAATAATTTAATTTATTACTTATAATATTTCAATGTAACGTCAAAACTTCAAAAACTTTTCAATAATGTAATTTTCTCACGCACCGCACTTATAATTTGTTACCTGAAGATTATTAACAATCGAAACATGTCGTAACGTTTCACAATTATATCTGTTCGTCAATAATTAAATATCCATGGGAAGGGTTTTGAGGAATTGAGTTGTTTATTTCCTGTATATCATTTAGGAATTGTGATTTGTTGATACCATCTTTACCATAGCCATTAAACGAAGTGTAGGTAACCTTAAACCCGGATTAAATTTGACCGCTTTGAATCATTATACCGAAACGGAGTTTTAGTTTTGGATGGAATTTGTCTGGGGCTAGTATTTTTAAGGGTAAACTCTGCCATGGAGATGGAATTTCACTGTTTACTTTGGGCTGTACATTTTATCATAAGATTTACTGGGCGAATTTCCCATGTTCAAATACTCTGAGGGTGAATACTTTAGGTAAATCTTTCCGGTGAGAAATTTCCTTTTGACAAATCTTCAGGAGCGAATTTTCCAAGGTGAATATTCACGGGGGGAATATACCATGGAGCGAATTTTCTAGGGGGTGAATTTACCGAGACGATTTTTCCAGGGCAAATCTTTCTACAGTCTATGTCGATCACGATCAACAAATAAGCCGTAATTCCAGTCATTTCTAGTTTTAGAATTGACTTTTCAATTTTCATACTACGATTATACCTACTTGTATAGCTGACTCGGCAATGTATGAGTTTAATGTTGAATGGTTTCATTCTCGACTTACCGCACATAAAATTAAAAGTAGGTATTTCATAAAGACACTTAGGCCTTAGGCATACAAGAATTATCGTAAGTTTGTCCACTTCGCTTCAGAATCGTATATGGACATTTTTGGATATTAATAGGGGACGGAATTGCGATTCTGTCAGTAACATGAGCATCCAGAACTGCAAACCAATTTATTAAAATAATGAATTCTAATATTTTCCCTTTACGATTTCAAACAATTTACATGGCATTAGGAATTTCATTAACTTGAGTACGGCACAGAGTCCTTCGTTAACTAATTAAGATGGACAACGTGCCGGTAATAAACCATGTCAGAGCTTTGAAACTAGTGTAGTAGGTACGTATTTAACGTCAGTTGTCAGCGACGCACCCCGATATCTTTGAACATTCATGCTAGATTCTTCAGACAGAAATTCAATATTGGATTATTTTATTTATTTTCAGTAAGCATACCGTTGTTTGCAAATCGATAACTTGTCTGTTCGAAGGATTTATTTTATCATTGTAGAATTTCGAGAATTCGATAAGGTTTGGGAGAAATATTTTCTTAAGATAATCCCAGGCAACAACCCCTACTGACTTGAGGGGGGATTATAGTACTGTTTGACTTGCAACTAATGATCCTATCTGGTAATGAACGATGCATTAAATTTTGTCTGTAGGTGTTAGGAACAGTTTAATAATGTACGAAATTGAGTTTCCAACTAGATTGTCCAATCACTTGTGACTTACTTACTCGTGATCAATCTCGCAGATTAAAATTATGTAGATTACAACAATTAACTAATGTGAATGTTTGTTTTAGATCTGTTGGTGATATGGACACAACGGGTTCAATATCAGCGGTAGAGGCGGCACTCGATCGTTTAGCGAAACAAAGAAGCGACTTGGAAGAGCTTTGGGCGGCACGTAAATTACGGCTAGACTTGTGTTTGAGATTACGAGTATTTGAACGTGACGCTCTCGAAGTTTCGTCGCAGTTAGAGATGTGGTCCGAAGAGCTTCAGCACAGCGAACTGACGAGAGATATAGCGAAAGCGGAACAGTATTTAAGGCTTCATAACGAAAGCGTTAGTCAAATGCAAAATACGACATTCCAAATCCTACAGCAGGGACAAGAGCTGGTGCAGGTCTTCGAAAATTCGGGCGTATGCATTATGGCCGATTCGCAGTACAATGCTCAAACTAGAGTTCAGGTGTTATTAGAATTTTTGCACGATCGAGAGGTCGACCTGGAGGATTTGGCGGAGGTGAAAAGGGTCAAGCTCGAGCAGTGCATTCAGTTGAGTCAGTTTCAAAATGACGCCAATCAGGTTATTAGTTGGATACGTAATGGGGAGTCGATGTTAATGGCCAGTTTCGCGATTCCGAATAGCTTGGCGGACGCCGAATTGCTCAAAAAGGAGCACGAGCAGTTTCAAGTGGCGATCGAAAAGACGCACACGTCAGCGGTTCAAGTGAAATATCGAGCGGACGCGTTGATTAATGGAAATCACTACGATCCGCAAAGTATAAGGGAAATTTCGGAAGAGGTTACGAAGCGCTGGCAACAACTGGTGACTTGCGCCGAAGAGCGGCACAAACTGGTAACGGCAAGTCTAAACTTTTACAAAACTGCCGAGCAAGTCTGTTCGGTATTGGACAGTTTGGAAAGGGAGTATAAGAGAGATGAAGATTGGTGCGCCAATGCCCATCAAGCCATGAACATGGACAAAGCTACAGCGATTTCACAGTTAATCAATAAGCACCAAGAACAGAAGGAAGCGTTTCTAAAAGCATGCACGTTAGCGCGCAGAACAGCGGAGACGTTTTTGAAGTACACCACGCGCAGTTTGCAATTCTACAATTATCCCCCTGGAACTGGTAACCAGGAGTCGCGGGTGAAAGGGATACTTGAAAAGTTGCTTACGCAAGAAAATAAAGTGTTGGAGCACTGGACGCAGCGCAAGAAACGCTTGGACCAATGCCAGCAGTTTGTACTCTTCGAACGATCGGCCAGACAGGCGATTGAGTGGATACACGATACTGGTGACTGCTATCTAACAACGCACGCAACGAATTTAGGCACTAACATTGAAGAAACCGAAAGTTTACTACGCGAGCACAACGAATTTAAGGGTACGGCGAAAGAAACGCGAGAGCGCGTCAAACTGCTGATTCAGTTAGCGGACAGTCTGGTGGAAAAAGGCCACGCGCACGCCAGCGCCATCAAGCAGTGGGTGGCGGCTGTCGATAACAGGTACAAGGACTTCAGTTCGCGAATGGACCTTTATCGGCAACAGTTGGAAGATATGCTCGGAATTCAAGCGGAAGAGAGTGAGAAGAAGGAGTTGTCGATCGATCGCAATTCGGATCCCAGCTTGGAAGCGAAAGTGAAAGAGGCCGCTGCCAAGGAGCTCAAAGAATTGAACGAGGAAAAACGGAAATCCGCCCGCAGAAAAGAGTAAGTAGAGCTTTAATCTTATCAACTGTTATAATTTGCCCAATTTCTTTTTATCAAATATGGTTTGTCAAAAGAAATCCCTTTATATGATGATTTTGTCCGTCTGTCCATCCGTCTGTTCCTCGTCTAACTCGAGAACGAAAAGAAACAGCGATCTCAAAACGATTTCTACGAGTCCAAGGATCAGGGCTATTGAATATGAGCCTGATTAAAAGTCGTGTTTCCGAATGTGAGCTGATTGTCAAAAAATTCCCCTACTGAAAATCGTACGCGATTCGCCGTATCTTGTTTTCAACTTGCTTTGTAAATATCATTTTTTATGACTTTCGCCAAGGTGTCCAAGAGGAAAAGGGCACAAGAAAATTGCTTAATTGGTCCAAAATATTTGTAAATGTATCGGCATCGTAACTAATATAACGCCCTTTTCCAGGTTTATAATGGCAGAGTTGCTGCAAACGGAACGAACATACGTCAAAGATCTAGAAACATGCATAAAGTCGTTCCTGAAGGAGATGAAAACGAGTAACGGAAACGGCATCCCGTTGGCGCTTCTGAAAAAAGAGGACGTCATCTTCGGGAACATGGAGGAGATCTACAACTTTCACAATTCGATATTTTTGCGCGAGCTCGAGAAGTACGAGACGATGCCCGAAGACGTCGGTCATTGTTTCGTCACCTGGGCGCAGAAGTTCGACATGTACGTCTGTTACTGCAAGAATAAGCCGGAGTCGAACACTCTGCTCGTGCAACACGGCGGGACGTTCTTCGAGGAGCTGCAGAAGAAGCACAAAGTCGAACATCCGATCGCCGCCTACCTCATTAAACCCGTGCAGCGAATTACGAAGTACCAGCTGTTGCTCAAAGACTTACAGTCGTGTTGCCAAGAAGGCCAGGGCGAAATTAAGGTTTGTTGTCTTATTTTGGTGTCGTTATTTACAATTTTTGCGCAGGACGGTCTGGAAGTGATGCTCAATGTACCAAAGAAGGCCAATGACGCCATGCACCTCTCCCTGCTCGAAGGCTGTGATGTATCTGCTGATAAATTGGGAGAAGTCGTGTTGCAAGATGCTTTCAGTGTATGGGATCCTAAACAGTTAATAAGAAAAGGCAGGGATAGACACATCTTCCTTTTTGAACTGTATCTATTATTCACCAAAGAAGTTAAGGATTCCGCCGGAAAAGTTAAATATATTTACAAAAATAAACTGATGGTAAGAATGCCCTTAATATTGACTTTTTATAATCCAATTGCTTTTAGACTTCGGAACTTGGCGTGACCGAGCACATGGAGGGTGACGAATGTAAATTTGCTGTTTGGACAGGCAGAGCACCAATCTCGGATTATAGAATAGTACTTAGGGCGTCATCTTTGGATACAAAACAGTTGTGGGTTAAGAAACTTCGCGAAGTTATTCAGGAAACTTACTTTAGCGGCGCTTTGCCGCTGTCCTTACCAAAAAGTCCAGCCAAATTAAAGCCCCACAGTCAACGGTCCAGCAGGTATGTATCTACAGGCTTCGTTCAACTTGAAGAAGCTGCTATTCCATTTTCTCAAGTATTAGTTAACTGGTGTGAAGCGTGCATTCTCCTAGATATTGAAAAATTGTTACACTTACGAGGGGTCGTTTTTATATTGCTGGACTAGGTATGAAAACAAAAAACTAGAGCAACATATCAGTAGAAAAATATTCATTTGGTTTTTCCGCGAAATCGTCGTCAACAGCTGCTATAAGTTCGTCATTACCCCTAAATTTCGTCCCCCTTAGTGTTTTTTTGAGATTCGGGAATAAAAAACAGTCACTGAGTGCTAGATCTGGATGTTCAATTTCTTTGAAGCCACAGCAGCTTTTGAAAGTCTGCACTGGTGCATTGTCATGGAGCAACAAGGCACCGCGCGATAGTTTTCCGCGCCTCTTCTGTTTAGTAGCATTTCTAAGGCGATGCACAAGATTTGAATAATACTCTCCCGTTACCGTACTACCATTATTCATATAATCATTAAGTAAAATAATCATAAGGGGTGACTTTAAACTTCTTGCCACAATATTTAACGTTAAATCTTATAAAGGGTGTGGCATGCATCTAAGATCCCCTCGAATCATACCTTTACCATAAAAGACACCGAAAAAGGTCTTAGAGCAAAATTATACACCATTAAATACCGTCGCCATGTTTCCAAAATATTGATCGTTGCTGTATTCCAGTGGCGTATCAAACTGGTACCACACATTTTATTTGGAAAGTACATATTTGAAAATTACTTATTTTTAATGTAACCTGTTATACCCTTAACTGAAACTATTCGCTGTTATATCCCGGTAGTTGTAAATCTATCCAACACCTTTTGAAACGCGCGTGGATTTGGATGTGTCCTACCTGAATATCTCCCAGCGTGACAATTCCGGTAACATTCTCCAAGAATCAACCATTTCTGTTTGAGTTTGGATCCTACGTTAATTCAAAATCAACGATGTACTGCCGTCCCTTTCCTGTTAATTGTGACAATTGAACATTTTTTATTTTATCATGGCAGACTTGGGTTTTAAAAAGCACTTTTTATTTAAATTTGCGTTTCGACTCGTATTTTCTTATGAAATGTGTGGTTTTGCCTGTATCAGTGGAAATTTTGCACTTTCAGTTATCGAGAGCTATGATTTGTTTAGGGGGATGCCATTTGAAATTTGCCGAAGGTCTTCAAAGTACTTTCCAAATCTGCAATAAAATATGGGGTATTTACAGCACGCCCCTAGCGATCAAACATATTTTAGAATAATGGCGACGGAGTTGTGTACAATTTTGCTCTAAGATTTTTTTCGATATCTTTTATGGTAAATGAATTATGATCCGAGGGGTGTTAGATTCTACACCTTGTAGAAGTAGGTTTGGTTTGCTTTATAATTACTCATAATCGAAAAAGTACGAATTGTTTTGGATTCTACGTCCCAAAATTAATAAGAAAAAGTGTTTTCCCGAGAAATTTTGGTGTAGTCGATTTTTGGTAAAAAAAGGAAGGTTATATATGTCGTAGTCTTTTAGTGAAATCTGTCATTTCACGAAAAGCCTAGTCCGAAGCCCAGTCATTTAGTGAAACGCTGAAAATTTGTACGTGTGGGGTATTTTTCCTTCCGCTTCTAGATCGATAAGGGATACCATTTATCGATCTCGAATGGGAAGGGAATCCAATCGCTTGGTCCTGGAAAGTACACTGTGCACAGTTTCATATAAATGACTAGGCGTTTCGTGAAATGACGGATTTCATTAAAAGACTACGACATACAGGGTGATTCCTATAGTACCTGCCACCGTTTGGGAGCGTATAGGGGGTGCCTAGGGGAGTATTTTGATATAGGACACTTGGGGTCGGAAATCTAAAATAAGGGCGCCAGAACCAAATTTATCTTCTGGAATTTCACGCCTGTATGTAGGCAACCCAACCGACCGACGTTTCGCGCGGAGCGATGCAGAGCGAGTTAGCGCGAGGAAGCGACATGGGAGGGAAGGAGGGAAAACGACAGTCAAAAGCAATAACGTTTACAAGTGTTCAACGTGGCCACCGTTGTTCTCAATGCACTTCCTACATCTAGCCAACTATTATTATACTATTGCCATAGTGTTTATTCACTTGATACGCGTCGTTGCAGACGGGATTTCGTGGGTTTAAACAAAATTCTGATCAAGTGTCAGCCACACATCGCCGCCTGAGATCGCTCCGTGTGCACCGCCGGCCGGTTGGGTTGCCTACCTACAGGCGCGAAATTCCAGAAGGTAAATTTGGCTCTGGCATCCTTATTTTAGATTTCCGACCCCAAGTGTCCTATATCAAAATACTCCCCTACGCACCACCTACACGCTCCCAAACGGTGGCAGGTACTATAGGAATCACCCTGTATACACTGCCTTTTTTTGAGCCTCGAAAAAAAAAATTGTCTCAGATCGACCGGGCAAAAATAATTTCTTATAGAATGTGCCCTGTAGAATCTATAATTTCAAACAGTTCGAAGATTGGGCTACTAGTTCAAAAGTTACAGCCCTTTGAATTTTCTTTCGAAATTGGTTTCTAGTCTATAACTTTTGATTGAGAAGTTATCGAAAAATACGAATTGTTTTGGATTCTACGCACCAAAATTAATAAGAAAAAGTGTTTCCCGAGAAATTTTGGTGCAGTCGATTTTTGGTAAAAAAGGAAGGTTGTACACTGCCTTTTTTTGAGGCCCTCAAAAAAAATTGTCTCAGTTCGACCTGAAAAAAAATTTTCTTATAGAATGTGGTCTGTAGAATCCATAATTTCACGCAGTTCCAAGATTGGGCTACTAAGTTTCAAAAGTTACAGCCCTTTGAATTTTCTTTCGAAATTGGTTTCTAGTCTATAACTTTTGATAGAGAAGTCTGATCGAAAAAGTACGAATTGATTTGGATTCTACGCACCCAAATTAATAAGAAAAAGTGTTTCCCGAGAAATTTTGGTGTAGTCGATTTTTGGTAAAAAAGGAAGGTTATACACTGCCTTTTTTGAGCCCCGAAAAAAAAATTGTCTCAGATCGACCCGGAAAAAAAATTTTCTTATAGAATGTGGCCTGTAGAATCCATAATTTCAACAGTTCCAAGATTGGGCTACTAGTTCAAAAGTTACAGCCCTTTGAATTTTCTTTCGAAATTGGTTTCTAGTCTATAACTTTTGATGAGAAGTCTGATCGAAAAAGTACGAATTGTTTTGGATTCTACACACCACAATTAATAAGAAAAAGTGTTTTCCCGAGAAATTTGGGTGCAATCGAATTTTGGAAAAAAGGAAGG